ATCGCCGAAGTGGTCGTGCATCGTGCACTCTGCTGCATACCTGTAGTACCGGCTCCTGATATGGCATGCACATGAGAAGCCCTCCATTAATATCATCCTTGCCACACCTACCTCGGTGAAACGAACTTCCTCATAATCCATCAGCACCTCGAAACAGTCGCTAATGAACCTCGTTATATCTGCTATCGGGGACTTAAAGATGGAACACATGGTGCAAATTTCCTCGATGCAGCGAGTATTCAGAGCAACTTTAATATGTAGGTAAGCGTCGTGAATATTATAGATTATCATGGTTGTCATGTCCAGGTCGTCGTCATCAGGTTTCACGTTCATCGTCGGGTGTTCCTTCTTTCCTTCCTCTCCTATTGCACCTGCAAGGCTATCAAGGCTGAACGGGAGATAATCAACATTATGTAGCTTGCTGAGGAACCAATTGGTATCTATAACGGTGGAGCCTGTACGATATCTGTATGCTTCTTTCTAGCGGACTACAGCTTTCCTCGCCTTACCGGCTCATTCCGCTGGCTCGAGCTTCACGAGAGAACTCCGTAAATGCAAGTGGAATCGGTATTCAGCTCGGGGTGTATACAGGGCGCCGAGGTCGCGACAAGCGCCAGGCACTCTGCGCTGCCTCCCGTAACGCACGCAGCAACAATCCCTATCTCCTGGCTCCATTACGAACTTTTCTCGCCCAGGGTAAGGGAGTCGGTTTGCTAGCTCTTGAAAGTTAGCGTCTCTTGGGCATTGTGCCTTGCAGGCGCGATTTGGGAAGAGTAAACGGCAAGAAAGAAAGCCTTATGCAAACAATCTAGGCAGTCTTTTTCTATTGATGGATGTTACAATAGTTCAGCTCGCTTCTCTATTATTTGACAAGTATCTGATGATATTAGTGACAAGAGTGAACTTACGTCAATATGCGTATAGGTAACGAAGCCAAGTAAACAGATACAAACTGATACAAATAAGCAGCGCGTCATCCTGTCTAGCCAACATACTCTATCACCCGTTGGGTAGAACGAGCATGTAAGCTCTTAAGTTTGTCAAACTTGCGTTTAAGCGCTAAAGCGCGACGTTTGGTTATAACGTCGTCTACGTTTTAACTTTGCTAAGCTCAAAGCGAAACGTCAATTACCTTCCACCTACAGGTCAAAGACTTGTGGGGGACAAGCTTTTGAAGCTGTTGCCCGTACCTCTCTTGAAAGTGATGTAACGACATTGGCTTCTTCTGAAGGTCAGAGGCAAAGCCATCCTACTGACTCTACTTCCACAGCACCTAGTGCTAGGAAGCGTCCGACGACAGCTGTCGTCACTTCTGACCGTCCTGGTCAAAAGCGTCAACGGCGTCAGGTCAATCCTGCCCGAAGGGTACCTCATACTCCCACGAGTCGTACGCTGAGGGTAACCCCTCCACTTCACCAAATATTGGTATGACACTGATGACGACGCCGAGCCAAGCAACGCTCCACGTGAAACTTTTGATAATCCAGTTCATCAATCGTCGTCGGCGGGGGTCGGTGAACCATTGACCTCTCATCTCTCTGAGATTGAGCGTCGCCTGACAATCCTGGAGCGTGATGTTCTTGGATCGGTAACGTCTCACCTGTCATCGCTCGATGACCGTGTCAATTGACACCGTCGATCCTTTGAGAGCTATAGCTTTGAGATGTCAGATTGCTTAGCGGCAATTGCGCGTTCTCAAGTCGAGCTTCGGTGTTAACGTGACCTCCTGGCACGCCTCCAGCTTTCATACGCATCGATGGTTTCGTATCACCCGCCTCCTTCCGCCGGGGGTAAGGGGACAACCCCTCGAAGTCCACCAAGGCTGGGTTGAGATATGGCCATAGTGAGCCCACATGGAACACAGTGTGTGTTTGCATCTTCTTCGGAAGGTTCAGCGTATAGGCTAAGCATTTCTTGCCTATGATCTTGAAAGATGTAATAAAGCGTGGACGTAGTTTGGTTTTATATATCACAGACACTGCACGTGTCGGTAAATTCCTAGCGTTTAATAAAACCAAATCATCCACTTTGAGCTCGTGTGTTCGCTCTTTCTGCCTTTGGCATCCGCGTGTTCCTTCTGAACATCCTAGCTTTCAGCCATAGCGTCTTTGATGCAACGTAATACGTCAAAACGCGTTGACAGAAACGCTGCCACCTTCTTGCGCATCGCAACAGGGCTGATATTAGCCAAGCCTTCGGCTATCTCCCTGATGTGGTAGGGGGTAGCGTTAAAGGAACGCGAGGGTTGACCAATCCATTCACATAGAATGGGGTGAAGCCTGTCGAGGCATGCACCGCGTTATTAACGCAAACTCTACCAGTGTGAGCATCGTGCTCCATTGCTTGCGTGTTTCAGCAAAACCAATGCGAAGCATATCGCCAATAACGCAATTCACGCGTTCAGTCTGATCATCGGTCTGTGGATGATCCGCCGTGAACATGGCCAGTCTAGTGCCCAGCACATTAAAGACGAATGTCCAAAACTTACCCGTCCAACGGGGTCTATATCCAAGACGATTGGCCTTCAACCTGATTGTAAACTTCTCGTCCATATCGTTCAGGAACATGGGCTTCTCTTTTTGTGCACGAACCATATTCGTTTTACAGCTCATTTGTCGTTACTGAAGGAGACTTCGATTGTCTCCACTTCGATCACGAAGACGGAAGGGCTGGCCTGAAAAAAGACACCAAAGTTGACCTCATGTCTGGCGTTAAATACAGACCAGCGCAAACGTCGAACACCACGCTGTAAGATGAATTGTGGTTCTGTCACATCCGGCGGCATTGGTTTTACCACTTACAAAGTCGTAGTACCTGGTTTTACGGCGTCAAAATGCATCCAATGTCAGCTTAGACGCTGCTTGCGCAAATACTCGTTATCTAAGGCCAATTTCGTGACTTCAGCAGCGCAAAAAATATTCTGACTATTTCTCGACTCGCCTACACCCCGTCGTGCTGAAAAGGCTACCTCTGTTGAGAGGTAGCCTTTTCAGCGATATTTAATCACTGCGCTCTCAATAATCAGCGAAGCTTGACCATTCTCAACTGATTCGCACACGATTCACAGGAAAAGCCAGAGAGGAAGAAGAAGAAGAAGCCCGAGATAATACCAGACTTCATGCCAATCTCCACCCTGGTGCCTGATAGCTCGGCATTGATATACTGGACGACTTACGCCTAGGTACAGCGGCAATTATTTGGCTCTTGCCTTCGTCTATATCGCGGATCTCAACGAAGCCTGACTGTCTCGATCACTACACTCATTTCACATAAAACTGAGATATAATTGTTGATGGCATGGATAACACCTTCGATCGTATGTCCTCGTTTGTTGCAAGGTCTATAAAGGAAGTGCACGATCTTACCGATAGCAATCTTCGAGTCTCCGAAGGATTCATTATTGGTCGACAGCTAAAGCATATTATGATGCAAACCTCTTGTACGCGTAACGTGATACGGACAGCCTGGGCGGAAGATGATCTTCAGTGTGAAACCGCTATTCGTATCCTCGAGAGCATTCCCAGAGAGCCGGGGTATCCCGCAGTCAAGCTCTCATCGATAGTCTCGGCTAGTATTCAGCAGACGCTCATGGATAAGGCGAAGCATGCTGTTAGTACGGACAAGCGAAGACGATGCCCGAGTGTTTGCCTCCGCCTGGGTCCAATATCGTCTCTGCAATAGGGGAAGGTTTGATTGATGATGGGGGTAATCTGCTGATCGATCTCAGTAAGCTGGCAATTCGGCCCAAACAGATACAAACTGATACAAATAAGCAGCGCATCATCCTGTCTAGCCAACATACTCCCTTTCCACCAGAAACATCTCCAGCACTTGGTACACACGTCCAATCTAGCGGCATTCAAGCATACGATACCGCTACTTCACACGATGTTTAATATTTCACCCAGGTGCCAAGAGCAACATTTCTCAGTCCTTGTGACTCGAGGGTCCCATTCCGGCTTTTTCTATCCCCTGGATCCGTTGCGCCCTTCCACAGGATGTCCGATCAGGAAACTCTTAAAGCACGATCGTATTTCGCCGACTTCATAAGCACTGTCCTTGTCTCCTGCGCGAAGATGGGTTGAAAGAGGCTATCAGTAATCTGCTTGTAAAAGCAGCGAACGGGGTTGTCCAGACTATAACCAGGAAGTATGACAAGTACCGCAGAATTATAGGCGAGATTCTTATTCCTCCAATATGCGTATAGGTAACGAAGCCAAGTAAACAGATACAAACTGATACAAATAAGCAGCGCGTCATCCTGTCTAGCCAACGAAACAGTCTTTGGCAAGAGCAGGCGACAAGGTTATCTCCACTTCATCGCAACTATCATACATCGACGCATCTATGTCTCGGTTTAGAATACAGTTATTCTCATGCTTTGCTGGATGTCTTACACTATCAACCCTATAAGTTTTCCGTGGGAAGGAGCTACTCACTTAACTTTTCAGCATTTATGGAGGCTAATTGAACGTATGTCGCTGGATTCTGGGAGTAGATATCTTATTTTGGCTTTTGAGTCTCGTTGCGCCCTTGGTCATAGCACCTACTACGATATCGCTGGTGATTCTATGAAGGACGAGCCTAATAAGATTATCACGAGGGCGGGGAGTCTGATGCTGGATTTGCGGAGGGCGGTAACTCATCCACCAATTTCCATGTGTAGCGCTTCATACGTGCTTGACGACACAGAGGTTATTTCATTTCTAGCGGTCTCCACCTTCAAGAAAACCTAGCACTGTTTCGAATGTGGATTACGACGGGGATGAGGTTAACGTTCAGATTGTAGATGGTCGGAAGTGTGAACAGGAGGCACGGTCGAGTATAGATGCTAACGTGTTGTCTAAGTTCTCGGATGAAAATGTTGAGAGGGTTCTCCGTGAGTTCAGGGGCAAGTTGACGGCCGATTCTCTGGAGAGGATATCGCCAAATCTTTCCGCCCATTCAATTATCAGGTCGGTCAACCGTCGGTGGTCGACTGTAGGTGATACTTGGTTGGGAGGGCACTAAATCATTAACGACCAGAACTACGATTGGGATAGCTGGTTTCTGATGGCCGGTTACCCGTTCAACCTCGCCTTTCCTATTCCTCGGACCCCTGTAGATGGAAGCAAAGAGATGCTGGTTCCAGCATCTCTTTACGACTCCCGACATGCCAACGTTAAACCCCGATGAAAGCAGATCGTACTCATCTTGTTCCGGGTCGGAGTATTCGTGGAAGTCCTCGTCGTAGTCGTCGGTATCACCAACCTCGAGGTCGGAAGTAGCAATCTGCGTGGAACTACTGCTTTCTGAGTTTTTCTGTTTCTTCTTTTCTATCCACATCTTCCGTCCCTTGCCTGTCTTGCTGTCCCCGGGCTTCTTCTTCTTCTTCCTCTCTGGCTTTTCCTGTGCTTCCTCCTCCGACATTGACTCCGATGCAGGCGCTTCCCCTTTAAGTGATATGTTGCTAAGCAGAGACGAGAAATCTATATGTTCATCGACGATGGCACGGTATTGTCGAGTTCCTTCGTATCGGTGGCCACCCCGTCGTGTACTCCTTCTCACTTTCTTATCTGGTGGAAACGTTTAAACGGCTGGCTGTTACCGGGCTCAAACAGGTTGGATGTTGCTACGTTTATGACAGGATCGGGGAAGATGGAGTCCTAATAGATCTCGGTGGAATTTCTATGAAGATGCATCCCGATAAGCCCGGTTACGCTGTAGCGAAGTATGGTAGCAAGGTTGAGTACGTGGAGCCGGCTGTTAGGACCAGGGATTTCCGTGCCACGAAGATGAGCTATGCTACCGATGTGATCTACGGCGACTGCGAAATAGGTTATTCTTTTACGGGATCGGCGGTGAAGGAAAAAGCATTACGATATCGACGATAACTTCCAATCTTCCAGGTGTGGTCGGGACTCTCACACGGGATTACGTTGGCAGAAGCGTAGACAAGATCGATGAGGCTGATATGGAAAAGATGATGGAGAATAGGTTCGTGTCTTATGGCGACGTCTCGATAGGCCACAAGGGATACATCAATGACTCCTTCCTCAAGATCATGTCTGGAAACGACTCGGTATCTACGAAAACGATGACGGGGAAGCTCCAATGTGGTGGCTTGGCTCCCTTGGACGGTTTATCTATTGTGAGGCAGAGAGCCCTGTAACGTCCGACGCAGAATCCACCATATCTTCGGCTTCGGGCAGCGTGGTTATATCGAGGTCAAGACGCAACCCTGTATCGTCCAGTAATGGCGAAGGCTTTTACTTACCTCAATGAACCCATTCTTGAAAAGATGCTGGAAGCTGCCAGAAATATTAACAGCATTAAAGTTGAACATGAAATGGAGATTGCTTTTTTAGAGAATCATTTGAATACAATGACGGCAAATAAAGCTCTCAGTTTTTTGAGGCTTGACGTCCCAAATGAAAGCAGCCTGCTAGGCACCAAACAATTTAATCTGTGGGTTGCAGATCGAAGCCACGAATTGCTACACGGTGGTGCGCTTCTTTCATACGCTAGTGAACGCGTAACGAGGTGTATATTTTACATACACACCTGCCACACCAATGTGATGTGGCTGTACCTTGGGTACAGTGGTATGTTCGATGTGACAGTACCTAAGGTACGAAGGGTCGGCAGAGAGCCACGTGGTCACTATACTTAGTCAAGTATAGTGACTATTACATGTTTGCATAATAATAACAGGCTACCAAGCGAGTAATAGTGACTAGCACTAAGTATAGGATAGGTGCTTCTATATTTAGTGTTAGAAGATAAACATATATATAAATCAGTCTCAAACCTGCTCTATATAGCACTCGTAACTAGAGCGTTCTATTCCTCCTGAGGAATCGTATCATTGGTGTAGTTTCTTGAAGACATGTTGTCCACAAACAAAAGTCATAAGCTTGTAAAGCTAGCCCTGGGAGGGTTAAGAACTCTTAGACACATAAGCTCTTTGGGCTTGTCTTCCTCTGCACATAAGTAGCTTGGCTACAGTAGCTCGGCTACAGTAGCTCGGCTACAGCTGGTAGCCCTTGTAATCAATCCCGCACCTGGGTTTGCGACTACTTTTCTGCGTGAGAATGGACATCGAAGAGATGTCAGCGATTGCCTGTCACAGGCGCAACAGGAAGGGTTGCAGAAGCTGCTCCCTATCCTTGGCCCTAAGGGCGTGTAATACCTCATCGCCCAGAGCGAAGAAGAGGTTAACAAGCGTATTCATATGCTTGATGAATACAATAAAGCCCTAGTCAAGCATGTAAAGGCACAGATGCCTTCTTCTGCGCCTTCGCCCATGGCGACTATGGCGCAAGAAGTGGTCCGCAGACCAAAACCCATACAAATGGAAGTCGATAAGTTCGACAGCAAAGAAGGTGACAACCTTATGCTTTGGTTCAGACAACTTCAGTCGTTTATGTTTGTAGCTGATATCGCCTATGAACCGTACCGTGTGGGCTTTGCCACGGGTAAGTTGGGTGGATTTGCCAAGCAGTGGGCGTTCACATGCGGTGCATCACTGCAAGATGCGTTCCCAACATGGGCCGATCTAAAAGTTCAGATGACCTGGCAGTATACACCGCCAAACCAAGCACACCGTAGTCGGTCGCGATTTTTGGCGTGTCGCCAAGGCAAGCGAGAGCTTGCGGCATATGTACAAGAGTTGAGAGCTCTCATTGCTACCATGGTCATATACTCTATGCATAAGGCAGTGCCCGTCACGGTCTTCATGGAGGGCCTCCGAGTTGGCGTTGCCAGGACGGAAGTCTTCCGGGTAAACCCGTCCTCATTCGAGGAAGCTGTTAAAGTGTCATGGAATACCGAGATCAACTTAAAGGTCGCTAGGCCTGCCACTTATAACTACTCGTCTGATGGGTCTGTACCCATGGACTGTAGTAAAGTGGAGGATGAAGAAGCTGAGTTGAGCTTCAAGCTGCGGAGCAGCAAATCGTGCGCAGATGTTATATCTGCAAGAGCACAAGCCATTTGATGGCAAAATGCCCTGCAAGAAAGGCATATTTGGCCTCGAAGGGTCGACGCTCCATGGGTAAACCCTCTGGTTTGCCGCGGGGAAACGCAGAGCCCAGTAGGTGCGGGGCACCCTACTGGGGAAGAACTGAGTTTGGCGAACCTCTAGGAGGTAGAAGTAAACAGGTCCCAGCCCCAAAGAGATCCGTACTCTCAAAAACGGAGCGAGAATGCAAGCCAGGCTAGCTGGTCGTCGAAGGGACGGTCAAGGGCTTTAATAAGCCATGGATCATTTTGATCGATTCGGGGGCATCGGGCAATTATGTGCCCCGTGCTACCGTGAAAGGTAGTCAGTAGTATGCTGAAGCGCTTGTAGCGCTTGAAAGTGACACGATCACAGTTGCTTAGCGACGGGTACGCGTGTTACGGTACCCAAAGTCCCGATGGACTTAAATGTAAAGTTCTTGGACCTTAACAGCATGGAACGCTGCTTGGTCTTAGACCTGGATGCGAGGTATGACCTCATCTTAGGCATGGCATGGCTAGAGCCTAATGAGCCATGGATTGATTGGAGGTCGAAGATCTTAGGCGCAACGCGCCATGCTCCTGGTGCGGTCTGGAGAGTCATGAACCCACCTCTCTTAGAAAGCAAAAGCGCTTTTGACGAAAATATTGGACCGAATCGGTATATGTTGGATGTCGGAATATTCGACTTTGTAGACATTGTAAGTGTCGAGGACAATAGTCCTGGGCGAGCCCCAATGGCTATCGATACTGTGGTTGAGAACCCACTAGATGGCACATGACATGTGTCACGAGGATGATGTTACATCATTAAACACCGTGAGTGATGGTGGTGGCTGCATCAGCGTACACAGGTGTATACACCTGTGTACGCTGATGCGTCGGATGCTGAGATCATCATGAGTAGCGATGATAATATTGTGAGTGACGGTGATAGCAAACAGCTATATGCACTCGTCAATGGTTTGACTGGGGATGTTGAAGAGACAGTGGCTTTTTCAGCTATACCCGCAGTAAGTGCTCTGTTAGAGCTGGACGAGTTGTCCTTTGCCGAGTTTGGCAGTGCCTTATAGGCAGGCGACATCGCCGAAGTGGTCGTTATACGACCTGAGAAGGAGTTAAACTCCTCATCTTTTTTGGATAAAGCAGTCTTTGAAGATACCAAGAAGGCGATGAATGCGCGTAGTGGATCGCATATCCTGAAGGAATCATTGGATCCATATTTTCCTTTGTTGAAAGAATATGGAGATGTTGTATCCATAGAACCAACTACGTGTCCACCTCCGGGTAGAGGTGTACGTCATGAGGTTGACTTGTTTCCAGGAATCAAATATTGTGTGACGCGACAGTGGCCGCTGCCACGCGGTCCCACCTTGGTCGTTCGTCAATAGACCTCGGTCCTTCCATCGATGGACCCTCGGCCCCGGTCCCTGTCCTTTTGGCCCCTCGATCGGTATTCCCTAGCCAAGCAGAATAAAGAATCAGGCCTCGGGGTAAAGATAGAGATAGGAATATACTAAATATTACTTAATTTTGCAATCTACATAGCGCGCCTCCGTCGTACTTATTAAGTCTACCCACCTGTTCCGGGAAGGGATATATTTTGCCCCACATCAAAGACAGTAGTGTGGCAAGACTTAAGTGCGCATAGAGCCCCAGGAAATATTTGGCCTGTGGGTTTGTCTGAGTAGGACCCTCCAATAGACCCACCATCAGAAGCGGTCTCCCCACCCTAGTGGTTCGGGAGCAAGTAAAACCAGGCGATTAACACCCTTGGGATATCAAGGAAATGGAAGGAGAAGGCCAAGAGTTGAAATATTGTGGTGGTGTGGGTTTCCCCAAATGCATAATGAGACCCTAAGCCACTCACTGCTCCGGACTGCCGACTGTCGGAGGAGGTATTCAGATGCCACGTATAGACCTTATCTCACCTTGTGTACCCGTCGGCTGGCGAGTTGCACTCTTCGGAGGACTTGGTTGAGATGTGGTGTCGACGTTGGGGTGCCTCGAGTGGATATACTTCACTCGGTAGGCGGGTAGGTGGCCACTCAGTCGACTAGGTCGAGGGTGGACTTATAACCAAATTCTTCAGGAAATTCTCAACCCTGGCCTTTTTCGCCTTCCTCGATAGCTCAGGGGTGTTAGCCGCCTGGCCTTTACTTGCTCCCGAACCACTAGGGTGGGGAGACCGCTTCCGATAGTGGTTCTATTGGAGGGTCCTACTCAGACAAACCCACAGGCCAAATATATCCTGGGGCTCTATTCGCACTTAAGTCTTGCCACACAACTGTCTTCGACGGGGAGCCAAAATATATCCCTTCCCGGGACAGGTGGGTAGACTTAGTAAGTACGACGGAGGCGTGCTGTGTAGATCGCAAACTGAGTAGTACTTAGTATAGTTATATCTTTTAAGTGCTTTTACTCTATCT